CCCCCCAAACCCTTGGGGCCCCCCGGGGAGGGCCCCCATTTCCGGGGGGCCCGAAACCCCCCCCGGGAAGGGGGGGGTTTTTGCAGCCGGTTTTGGGAGGATTGTTCTTTTTCCCCGCCCGCCGCCGCGGAGGGGGATTTTGCGTTCCCGGTGGGGGTTTTTAGCCTTACGGTTTGGCCCAGGGTTCCCATTCCTAGGGGGGGGGCCCCCGCCGCCGCCTTTTTGGCGGTTGGGGTGGGGGAGGTGTTGGTGGAAGAGGATGAGGATGAGAAAGGGGAATCCCCCCCCGGGTTTTCTTTTGGGGGGGGGGGGGGGGGGAGGAGAGGGAGAGGGAGAGGGAGAGCGATAGTTGGCGTTCTTCGAGCATAACGCTTGGAACGAGGAGGGAGGGTGCCACACTGCTACTACCTACGTTGTTGGAGAGGACAGGGGATTGGATTGGTGGATGGACATGCTAAAAGAAAAATATCGTGGTGTTGCGAGAGCGGTTGATCTCGCTGAAAAAAGCACCGGCGCTAATGCGAAGTCCGCCTCAGACCTTACAATATCGCTGTACGCCTCTTAGACCCAAACGGGAGAGACCCAAACGGGAGACGGCTAAATGTGCTCGCTCGCCACGTGACCTCAAGCTTAGCCACTCTACCACCCGTCCACAAGCCGCGGCGGCGCACGCCTTTACGTCGATCACACACAAATAACCAACATCCTTGCAAGGCCGTCACAAACTGCTACATCGATAAAAGAGTCGTGTGCTTGTGTGTGTGTGTAGGTTAATTCAACCAGCATCGAAAGCGCTGATTGGCTGCCCAACGGACACACGTCAGCCTTTTCGTTCGCGGGACACAACAAATCTCGATCACGGTTTTCACGCGCGTGCTTGTGCGTGTGTTTTATAGGGGTTGCCATGTTTGGGGGGGGGGGGGGGGGGGACCCCCCCCCAACCTGCCCCCGCCCCACCCAAGAAACTTTTCTTGGCGGGGCCCCCCCCCCGGGCAAAAAACCCGGGGGGTTGGGATTTTCCCAAAAAGGTGCCCAACCCCCAAAAGGTCTTGGTGGTGGAATTTCCCCGGGGGAAAAAACGAAATTTTGCTTGACCAAGCGCCGCAGCAAGGGCGGTGGGGGGGGGGGGGGGGGGGGGGGGGGGGGGGGGCCCCAGTATTAAAACAACCCAAAAAATTTTTGTTCCCAAAAATTGGCCCAAAATAGACCCCCCGGGGAAAAATTTTGGGGGGGGTTTGGGGGGACCCCCCCGAAAACCCCGGCTAAAAAAAAAAAAAAAAAAAAAATTCTTTGGCAACCCTGAAAAACTGCGGCAACCTCCCAACAAATGCGAAACAAAAGAACCCGGGGGAAAAAAACCCCAAGTACCCCCCCCCCAAAAACTTTTCCAAAAGGGAAAAAAAAACCCCACCCGGAAACCCCCCAAACCCCCAAGGCCAAGGGTAAACCCGCCCCCCCAAAAAAATTAAACCCACCCCCCCAACCCCCCCCCCAACAAAGCTTGGCCCACCCCCCTTTAAAAATAAAAAAAATTGCCGGCCCCGGAAACAACTTCTTCCCCCCCCCCCCGGGGAACCCCAACAAATAAAAAACGGGTCTGCGTTTCTTACCCGGGTG